CTAGTTGTTTTGTCTGCTTTACTGCTTGAGCTTCCCTAGTTGGTATGAGATGTAAAGTTCAGGCATGATTGAACTTGGTCTTGTGTTAGTACATAAGAGCAACTTAAGATTGCAGCACTAAACCTCAGGGCTGTAGTTGTGTTTATATGCATGACAGTGAAGGCTTATTATTATAGAGATACGCGTGTAAGGTGAGTAAAATTTACATCATTTTTATTAAGTCTCGGTAGTAGAAAACTACAGAATCTTGACATTTGATATTTCCCTGTGCATTGAAGTGATCCAGTTTTGCATTTTGTATTTTTAATTAGTTGTGTATATCAGTTTCAACTGATATGGCGAACTCCATTGTCCGAGGTCTTGTAGAGCAGTTGTTAGTTCCTCAGGTAGTTGGATTTCTTCTCCTGTGGGCGTAGAAGGTTTATCGGCACCCACCATTATGGTTTATCCATGTAAAGTTGTGTCCTTACAGTCTTTTTCTTCTTCCATATTTGCATTTCAGGTTTTTATTTCTCTGTTGATACATGCACATGTGTTGATATGCAAACAATAGCTTCAGCCTCAGAGGAAACTGTATTGGTTTGCATGAGTTCAATTTCCATTATGACCACTGCAGTCTTAAAATTTGAAAATATCATGTACTCCATTGAATCTGTCTGTTACTGATACACGACACCCACGATGTCAGGAGTGGATAGCAGGTCAGGCCATTAGCTGATCTTCAACCATGATAACTTATTGTGTATCAGCTTCATGTAATACACTGGAGTAGCATGAATTAATAATTCCATCACATTATCAAGAAGTGACTTTATTGTGGCCCTTAAAACATCTTTATAAATCAGAGTAAGAGATTTCATAAAGTAAAAATAAATGTAGTGGTGATGTACAGACATACATCTTTATTACATTCCATGGATCTGTAAGTTATTCAGATAAAAATAGGATGTGGAATATGTTGTAATGATACAATACATATTATACATATTACAAGTACAGTCAATATTGTTATAAGGTTTCGCGTATTATAAACAAAGGATTCACATAATTAGTGAAACAAATACATCCACCCATTATGTACAACAGATAAATCATAATACCCATTTATATAACTCAACATTATGAATTATTTGTAGACATTAGAAATTTATCATATGGACATGTGAAAGCAGTGGGAGTACCAGATAGACTGAGAAACTAATTGAGTGGGTAGCAACTGCAAGATGTGGACCGAGTAGCTAAAGGATGCCCACAAAGCAATGACAGGAAGTCATAAGAAGGAAAATGACTCTGATGGTACGCAGTTGTGGAATCCAAAAATGGAGCACCTATGAAATGGAAACACACAGTCCATTGTAACTAGTTTAAGTTGTATTTCTTTATCAATGATTGCAGATTTCTCATGTATCTGCACTTTTAACTAACTAGATGGCTTATGGAACCTGAAGGCTCATCACTGAATTAACCAAAGCCCCCCACCAGTCCCTGTCCTGGGCCAACAAAATCCAGTAGTAAGCTCATCATTATGCAGTTTTCTCCAGACCGCATCATCATCTCTCCTAGGCCCAAATATCCTCCTCAACACCCGATTCTCAAACACCTTCAATCTATGTTCCTCCCTCAGAGTGAGAGACCATGTTTCACACCCATACAAAACAACGGGCAAAATTATTGTTTTGTGTATTTTAATCTTCGGGTTCATAGAAATCAGACAGGAAGACAAAATACTTTGAAGTGAGAAGTAGCAAGCATTTCCGGAATTTAGTCTCCTCCTAACTTCCTCACGAGTGTCATTTTGATTTGTTATTGTTGTTCCCAAATATTTGAACTTTGTAACCCTTTCAAAGGATTTATTAGCCACCCTAATATGATTTTGATTGCCTGTCTGTTGGCAGGATACTAACATGTACTTAGTTTTTCTGAATTTACTTCTATCATCACCCAATAAATTAACATCAGTATATGCCAATAGCTGATGTGTCCCATTCAATTGCAAACCCTCCTGCCTATCTTGGACTTTCCTGATAGCATATTCTAGCGCAAATTTAAAGAGCAATGGAGACGAAGCATCTCATTGTTTCAGACTGCTTTTGCACTATAAGAACAGCCTTAATCACCTAGGAACCAGTTAGAGACAGAGAAAAGTGATAAAACTTGGATAAATGGAATTCGTGTTTAACATTATTACGTAATTATGAGCATTATATTTCAAACTGTACCTAATGTACTGGCGCTCAAATGAAGAGGGGTGAAGTGAGCAAGGCATGTAGCATGCAAGGGCATTGATAAATATAAACAGAATGATTGTTGGAAAATATGAAAGGAAGTTAATACTTCTGAAATGGTAGGGGATCTTGTCAGTCCTTTGGAACCAAAACTCTTTTAAATAATACTGAAAATTCAGTTCCTGCCACAAAGAAGGCACGTCACTTCACTGGATTGAAATGGCTCATTTCACGTCCATTAGCTAGCCTTTTTGAACACTGTGATGGCCCTTTGAATTCTTTAACAATGGGCTTTGTCGGCCAGCTGCATGACTGTTTGTTGCTCGAAGTGGCTTTGAAGTTGGTCAAATTGTCGTTTTGTTGTGTTATTTTCTGCCAGTGTATTTCTGTTGTTAAGCCAAGTTATGCATATAAAGACTTATCTTTTATATTCTTCGTTGACAGATAGCTGAAAACCTACAAGTCTGTGAATAATGGTCAAGTGTAGCTAATTCAGAAGTTACTTACAATGGCTTCTACACAAGGAGAGATTCGAGTAGGGCCATCTCACCAGGTAAGAAATATTTCAGCCTACGCTAATCTTTATATTGCGCTAACAGTGTCTTGTTGGCCAAAACACTGTGATGTTTTGTACACCACTGGACATCTCTGTTTAATGGTGCTCTATAATCTGTGTAGTTGAAAGAGCATCATTAAATGTGTTAGCAGATGGGACAAATTTAAAAGAAAGTGACGCCATAGTTGTAGTAGTAGAAAGACGCAAGAAATGCATCCGAGTGGGGGTATGAGATCCAGCCTTTCCCAAGTTACTGATTAAACAAATCAACAGGTAGCCTGCGTTCTCAGTAGTGATGTTTACATTTAGCCTGTCTTTCATTATAAACTAAGGATTTTGCTGGCCTCCTCAAATTATATTTGAACCAGTTAGCAAATTTTGATGATGCTTGATTTTAGAAGCTGTGTCAGTTATTTGTTTTGCGTTTCCCTACCTTGAATAATACCAAGTCAGTGGCTACAGGCTCAGTGTCTTGGTACGTGCACACAGGCCCGCTTGCCAGAATTCCGCCCAGAAGTTACTGAATCAGACAAAGAGCGGGAGGAGTTAAGGTGGGTGCCTGCCATGACATTAGATGGAGACCTCCTCATGTACCTGCGGGCTGCACGTTCTATGGCAGCGTTTGCTGGCATGTGTGATGGAGGCTCACCAGATGACGGTTGTGTTGCTGCAAGCAGGGATGACACTACGATAAATGCCCTTGATGTTGTGAGTACCCACCTCATTAGTATACATGTCTTTACTTCATTCCTGTTTCTTTGTATAATATCACTTCTACCAGGTACTGAGGTTAAAAATGTTCTGAGCTGTAACTCCAATTCTCGTATGACTGCATGGTGTGAAGTTGATTTAAGTGTTATGGACAACTTAACCTCAATCTTTACTTTATTAGTGCTCAGTCCTTAGTGGGTGTTGCTGTTTAAGAGTGTATTGTACTAATCTAGCTGCTAAGTTTCTCAGCTGAGTTAAGTTAGTTTTTGTGTATTTCAAACTGTACCTAATGTACTGACGCTCAAATGAAGAGGGGTGAAGTGAGCAAGGCATGTAGCATGCAAGGGCATTGATAAATATAAACAGAATGATTGTTGGAAAATATGAAAGGAAGTTAATACTTCTGAAATGGTAGGGGATCTTGTCAGTCCTTTGGAACCAAAACTCTTTTAAATAATACTGAAAATTCAGTTCCTGCCACAAAGAAGGCACGTCACTTCACTGGATTGAAATGGCTCATTTCACGTCCATTAGCTAGCCTTTTTGAACACTGTGATGGCCCTTTGAATTCTTTAACAATGGGCTTTGTCGGCCAGCTGCATGACTGTTTGTTGCTCGAAGTGGCTTTGAAGTTGGTCAAATTGTCGTTTTGTTGTGTTATTTTCTGCCAGTGTATTTCTGTTGTTAAGCCAAGTTATGCATATAAAGACTTATCTTTTATATTCTTCGTTGACAGATAGCTGAAAACCTACAAGTCTGTGAATAATGGTCAAGTGTAGCTAATTCAGAAGTTACTTACAATGGCTTCTACACAAGGAGAGATTCGAGTAGGGCCATCTCACCAGGTAAGAAATATTTCAGCCTACGCTAATCTTTATATTGCGCTAACAGTGTCTTGTTGGCCAAAACACTGTGATGTTTTGTACACCACTGGACATCTCTGTTTAATGGTGCTCTATAATCTGTGTAGTTGAAAGAGCATCATTAAATGTGTTAGCAGATGGGACAAATTTAAAAGAAAGTGACGCCATAGTTGTAGTAGTAGAAAGACGCAAGAAATGCATCCGAGTGGGGGTATGAGATCCAGCCTTTCCCAAGTTACTGATTAAACAAATCAACAGGTAGCCTGCGTTCTCAGTAGTGATGTTTACATTTAGCCTGTCTTTCATTATAAACTAAGGATTTTGCTGGCCTCCTCAAATTATATTTGAACCAGTTAGCAAATTTTGATGATGCTTGATTTTAGAAGCTGTGTCAGTTATTTGTTTTGCGTTTCCCTACCTTGAATAATACCAAGTCAGTGGCTACAGGCTCAGTGTCTTGGTACGTGCACACAGGCCCGCTTGCCAGAATTCCGCCCAGAAGTTACTGAATCAGACAAAGAGCGGGAGGAGTTAAGGTGGGTGCCTGCCATGACATTAGATGGAGACCTCCTCATGTACCTGCGGGCTGCACGTTCTATGGCAGCGTTTGCTGGCATGTGTGATGGAGGCTCACCAGATGACGGTTGTGTTGCTGCAAGCAGGGATGACACTACGATAAATGCCCTTGATGTTGTGAGTACCCACCTCATTAGTATACATGTCTTTACTTCATTCCTGTTTCTTTGTATAATATCACTTCTACCAGGTACTGAGGTTAAAAATGTTCTGAGCTGTACCTCCAATTCTCGTATGACAGCATGGTGTGATGTTGATTTAAGTGTCACTGAGGTTAAAAATGTTCTGAGCTGTAACTCCAATTCTCGTATGACTGCATGGTGTGAAGTTGATTTAAGTGTTATGGACAACTTAACCTCAATCTTTACTTTATTAGTGCTCAGTCCTTAGTGGGTGTTGCTGTTTAAGAGTGTATTGTACTAATCTAGCTGCTAAGTTTCTCAGCTGAGTTAAGTTAGTTTTTGTGTGTTTAATAAATATTGTAATGAGTGAAGGTTTACATTGACATTTTCACTGCAGTAAGAACTTCAAGTTCTTTTTATCAGGATGTTTCTGGAATTTGAGGAGCCACTGATAGGCCATTGCTCCCAAAGTAATGAGGCATGGATCTGTTGTGGAAATCATCCATCAGTTTTGGATGTCTGGTGGACTTGATCGGTGAGAAACGAAGAGGCGTGGCTTTCAAACTGGCTTTGATGTTGATGGAAAGGTCTATACATCTTACCTAGTATTGGGCTAGACTTGTTACATGCATGGGCAAAATCAATACAGAAATTCTTAAAAGGAAATCTGCATTGAAATGGATCTAGGGGAATTGCGTTGTGTGGAATTGAACTGAATTAAATTGCCCTAGGATCATGGCCATTGACAGGTTTTGCTGCAGTATGAAGCTTTGAGTTCTACTAGAAGAGTGAGTGTATTATGTTCATAATATAATGCGTTTGTCCCTGAAAGATGATGTGCTATGTGCTCATGTTCTAGCTGCATGATTCTGGTTATGACCCTGGCAAAGCCCTCCAGGCCTTGGTGAAATGTCCAGTTCCTAAAGGCATCGATAAGAAGTGGACAGAAGAAGAGACGGTAAGCACGGTACTCGTTTCACATTGTGTGAACATATAATTTCTACTGTATGTTGAGCCTACATCGGTGGCATCATCAGAATATAAGTGACACAAATCTCTTACAGAAACGGTTTGTGAAAGGTCTTCGGCAGTTTGGAAAGAATTTCTTCAGAATTCGGAAGGACCTTTTGCCGCACAAAGATACAGTGAGTTACTTTTTACTGGCATGGCCAGTCTTTCGATGTTTACTGTCATGAGAATTTGGATCCATTAGTGCTATATTTTCCAAGTTGTATTAGAAAAATAGCTATAGATATTGTGTCCCGGGTTCGATTCCCGGCGCTGCCCGAATTTATAACTTGTGTTGGGCAAGGCCGTGGTCTAGGCAACACGGAGTTTTCCTCCGTGGCATCCCAACAATTACTCCATTCACACACAGAAGAAGGCAATGGCAAACCACTTCTGGATCATCTGCCAAGAACGTATATGAACAGGTCCCAGTCCGAGAAAAGGATGGAAGGATCCTGTTCATATGGACCTGTCGTCAGACAGAACACTAAATAAAAAATAAATTACCACCATGTCCGTGTGCTTCTTGCTGTTTTTATAGAACTTTGAAGTGAATTTACTAATTTTTTGTGATTTTTATTTCACTTCTGTATTTGTCTGGTAATATTAACGAAGTTTAATATTGATTGCAGTTTATTAGAAGCATTTCAAATTTGTCTTTTTTAATTTCTGGCCATGAGCAGTACCAACATGGCCATGCAGACTTCAGGGGTAGGAGCTTATTCTAATGTTGTCTTCAGAATATATGCACCTTTGGTTAAATGCCATTTGTGTGCAGGCTGTAACATAACACGATGTCCGTCCTTCAGACAAAGATGAAGTTATGTGTGAATACTTTCAGATATTGACAGCGAATATTTTATTTAGACATGAAAACCTTGGGACATATTAACAGGCCTGGATACAATTTGTAAGGCTTCTGAAAAGAAGGCACAGCAAAACCAATGGTGTTTGATTGCATTTCAGCCAGAATTGGTTGAGTTTTATTATTTATGGAAAAAGACTCCTGGTGCCAACAATAACCGTCCTCACCGCCGGAACAGGAGGCAGCAGTCACTGCGTCGTATTCGAAACACACGCAACACACGGGGTGGTCAGCCAAAGGAGGCAGATGCCAGCTCACCAGCAGGTATCAGTATTTGCAGCATCACTTTGGGCGTGAGTTGCTTTGAAGGAAAAGGATATTTCCCTGCAATTGAAATCGCAGTTGAGCATAATAACTAGCACTGTTACCTTGCTATCATGGAGGGCGCCTTTTATT